CGCCCCGCCCCGCCCTGTCAGCCTCCTCAGACAGCAGGCATCGCACTTCAAAGAGAAAGGACCCAGGGGGCCAAGGTGCGGTCAGAGAGAGCACCAGGTCAGTGTTTCTGCAATAGTTCCAGAACATTCCTAATGTGTGCGCCCTTCTGTCCCATACAAGAGCCCTGAGAGGCGGAGCGGTCCGGGCTCCCCTCCCACCACCCGCAGGTTCCGGAGAGCAGTGGACAGACTCAGGGGAGACCCGCCTCAGCCCCAGGCCCCCATCCCAGCCAGGAAACGGAGCACTGGTGAGGCACCACTGCTTAACCCTGCTGCTTGCCATGGTCTGCCCCCAAGTCTTCCTGCTGGGGGTGAGAGGCAGTGCGGTCTGCGGCCCGCCTAGAGGAGCACCTGCCCTGGAAAGGCTTGGCGGACGTGTCCATGTTCCCAACTGGCCGCCTTCACCCCGCCTCCGTGTCTGTACTCCTACGTCTATGCGCGCACACAGAACCCCACATTGCTCAGCAAGTCTGAGAGTCAGGCGGACAATTGCCCACTCTCATATACAAGGAACCATCTGCCTTTCCAGCCGAGAATTGTTCCAGGAGCCAAGTTATGTGAGTTGCGGATTAATAAGTATCATGAAAAAGCTGCTAAGAAAGATGAGGTTCCAGGCAGCGCAGCTTCCGCACACAGAGCCCTGGGTTCCGACCGAGGTCACATCTGCCTGCCTCTGTCTTCCTCCCAATCCAAAGCCAGCACATCTCCCCTTCAGGGGCCTCATTAACCCAACCCCAATGACAAAGGGACACGACCTGCTTACAGAAAGCCAACCCCCATTCTCTCTCCTCCCCCCCCTCTCCACTCTGGGCTGTCGAGGGCTGAACAGATATGTGAACAGCCAGTGACGCCGGTACTTAAGGTAACTGGCATCCTTGCCACGGCTTCACCCTCTGCCCAGTTTGAAAGGACACACTCATTGCTCATCACCCACTCTTCTGATGCTCCAGAACCTCTGTTTGGCTCTGTGAGGGCTGGTCCGTCCCCATGGTCACCCTCAGGGAAGCAAGGCGGTCAGGACTGCTGCCTCCTGGGCCCGGATCCCAGAGGAGCGCCCTCCAGGGATCAGCAGGGGAGCAAAGGTGGTGAAGACCCTGAGATGTTGTCTGCACTCCCTGCTCAGGGGCCTCTCCCCCTGGGGGAGAATACCTTGTGTCTCAGAAAAGAAGGTGCAAACCATACCCTGAGAAAGGACCCAGGAGGGCCAAGGTGTGATCAGCGAGAGACAGGACGTGCGGAACTCGGTCCTGGGTAGATTCACCAAATTCATGTGAACTTCGGAAAAGCCGCACCCAATCCAGAATCACATCCCTGAACAGAGGAGGCCCTGGAGTGTCATGTGTCAACATGAAAACGTATTATGTAATGTTTCCTTAAGCCACTGTAAGGAACAAGCATGTGGGCCTTCAAACCCGTTGTTACCCAGAGCATCCAAGTACAGATCTCTGGGCATATTCTGGGTCTGAACTTAGAGCACTAAGCATGCACCATTTCATACAAACACCATATTCTTATTTCAGTTACATATCCGACCTGAGTTCTTGAAAAAAAAATGACCAAGATAGTGAAAGAGTTATCCTGGATCTCTTACCCTTTGAGGCAGCATGGAAGGACCTGGTGAGTATTATACTAAGTGAAATAAGCCAGTCAGAGAAAGAGAAGTATCACATGATCTCACTCATATGTGGAATCCAATGAACAAAATAGATCCAGAGACATAGAATCATGCAACAGATTGATGAATCTCAGAGGGAATATGGGAGTGGGTGGATGGATGGGGAAAGATTAACCAAAGAACTTATATGCATTATTTGCATAACCCATGATATAGATATTATGGGTTAAAACCAATCCAATTAAAAAATGGGCAGAACACCTGAATAAATATTCCTCCAAAGACAACATAGAGATA